CCCGCCGATAGCTTCAGCGCGGCTTGTTCGGACGACAGCGAATAAACTTCCTCGGTCGGTGCCGCCGCCGCTGATGCCACACCCGCGACTGCGAACGGAGGCGCTCTTTCGCAGGCGGCATTGCCGGCGCCGCGGGCGCCGGCGGGCAGGCTACGTTTACGACGGGACGGGCGGGGCGTGTGCGCCGTCCTCAGCCCTGCCGTGCGGAGGGGGGTCGGGGAGGGCCCGCCACCGCCGGAGGTCGTCAGCGACAGGGAGGAGGAGGAGGCTCCTCCGTCGAACCTCCCGGCAGAACGATCGACGCCGCCGCCGGTATCGGTGGTGCTCTCGCTGTTTTTGTGATTGCTGCCGCCGTGGCTGCCGGTGTCGTTGGTGTTGGGGATGCCCTCGCCGTTGTTGTTGCTGACGCTATTCGTGTCACGGCCGCCGCTGCTGCCGACGCCGAGGGTGTTGCCGGAAGTGTTGATGCTCGGCGTGGGGCCTGTCGATGCAGGTGCGGGCGCCGGCGCCGCCTCCGGAGCACTTTTTCGCCTTCGCTGATGGCTGCTGACTCTTGCCGCCAAAAATCCAACAGCCCTGCGGGGCGAAACGAAAAAAAGTGTAGGCGTGCACATCGGGCACACGGCCGTCGATCGTGGAGGAACATTTCTTGGCGAAGACTGTTCGGGGGTGCTCCGCAGATCTACGGACCTCAAGGGGGATGCGTGGGTGATATGATGGACATGCCACGTGGGGATCGTCTTGCCTCACGCATGTGTCTTGTCACTCGTTAATGACCAAGGTCTTAAGCCAACAATTTTTTCTCTCTTTCGCCCTCTGATGACGAAGCTGCTGCACCCAAACAAAGACTGCTGTGCGCGTTTCAACGTTTGCTGTGTGGTGGGTCCAAGCGCTGCGGGTGTATGTTGCGCACCTCTGTGTGCACCAGATGTGTGTCAAGATGTTATGTGTTCGCCAGACGGCTTTTGCCGAACAACCGAAGGTAAAGTGAGTGCGCCAAGCGACCAGTGAGAATGGAAACGTGGCTCGCAGCTTTCAGATTGGTCTACAAACCTGCGGCGGAATATTTTCAGACATGACCGAAGAACCTCGGATGACGGGTGGCGTCACCAGTACACCACGGGATATGCCTCGATCGGTTGCACCAAGAGTCCGCTACTGGATCAATTGCCCTCGATGACCATCGGCCGCTCTCGACCATGTTGAAAGACTGACACCTGTTTACGAAAAAATACCCCCCGCACAAAAAAAAAGCACACATCCGAACGATAGAGTCACAAATACACACATGCGCACCACCGGTCCACACACACAGGAAACTACCTGAAGCACACGCCGGCGTCTCCCTGTAGCTTCTTCGGCGCCCTGAGGGCGGGAGCGGCGCCCAAGGCGGCAAGCACGGCCCCCACCTCCGCAAAAAAAGCCCGCCGCAGCTCGTCCTCGGTCCTGCGCGAAGTGACCGGCAGCGCCTTTGCCGCCTTGTCCAACTGGCGTGAGACGGAGACGGGCCGATGGGTATGGTTCATCGTGCACGGCGGCGCGGCATTGTTGACAAGGCCAGCATATGCAGAAGATAAAAACAACGGGTTTATGGAGGGTGGCGGCTTTGTGACTTTCGCCCGCAGTGCTCTTTTTGTGTGTGTGTGTGGGCAAACGCGTCGTGAGCTTCTGTCATTCGCACGTGTGTAGCCGACCCACGGCATTTTTGGTGCAGAGCATGCCATGGATGCATGTCGTGCTGACAAATTACAGCTTGGGATTATCATCGATTATTTGATGAGGACGTCCGAATGGCCAGCGGTTCATCAACCACGAACCGCGGACGAAACGTTGCAGAAATGACCCAACAGCTCGCTATCGTTGAAAGATGGTCCCAGTGGTAGCAACGTTATCGAAGCACCTCTCGGCTGCGCGGCACGCCATCGGCCCGTCTCCATACATCGTGAGAGCCGAGGCGGTCCAAACACACCGCCGCCGCAACAACAACAACCAAACTGCAAAGGTTGGGTTAGGTCCAACATGGGAGATCGGGGCTGATTTTTACTCCCCGGGGCCCCCTCACCGTGGGGCCTCTACCAAGAAACTGGGCTGCGCCAAAAGAGTCGATAATACGCCTACGTATGCACCTGCCGCGCCCTGTTTCGCTCCATCTGCAGCTGCGTGCATGCCATGACGGCCTCTTTGCCTTCTGGCAGCTGCCCCCCCAACCGCCCAGACCCCCGTCACCGGACACGCCAAGGGCAGGGGGTGAGGAGATGCAGAGAATAAAATAAAAAACAGCAGCAGCCAAAACAAACGGGGCAGATATTCGATGAGCAAAGGAATGGCTGGTGCGAGAATGGTTGTCGCAGTTTGGATTCCGTGGCAAGAAGGAGGCTTGGAGCCGAAGCACCAGCACTGCTGTCGGCTAGGAAGCCAAGAGCTTCAAGAAGAGAATATCTTTCGTTAGGTAGAGACAAATAATAGTTTTTCGTTCAAGAGGAGCGGCCCGAAAGGGGTGCTTTTCGTTTCCAACAAAAAGCTGATTAGGGGGGTCGTGATGTGCGTACGTATGTGCGAAAAAAACGGAGAAACACTAGGTTGTTGTTGTTGTTGTTTCTCACATTAGCTCTATAGTCCACAAAAAATGGGGAGCCCGTGGTCTCAAAACCCGGCACATACGACGCCGCGGGAAAAAAAAACAAGGGTACAAACCACTCGGAAAAAGAAAACAAAATGATAGAAAGAAAAGAACAGGTATCGCACCGACCATTCGAGAAAAGAGCCCTCGGAAACCGATCAGAAAAAAATTAAACAAAGATAAAGGAGGATGCTTCCCACACCCGCCCAAAGAAAAAATCAAAGGGTAACGTATCAGCACCAGGCACTACGCACCAGGGCATTGGAGTAACGGAGCAAACAGGACAAAGAGGCGGCAGATGGGCAGACAGCCAGACGTACAAAAACAAAGGTAACAGCAAAGCGAGATCAAGGTACCCAACACAGCAGTGTAGGAAGGGAGGACATGAAAAAAAGAAGCACAGCACAGAGGCCGAAGGCAATACAAAGGACATACATTAAGGAGTATAGCATACAGCAGGGAGGGAAACAGGGCGCAACAACATCAGCCGGGTACATAGTTCGCCATAAGTGCTGCCACGGCCGCCCTACTCGCTTCTACAGCAGTGCCCGGTCGCCGTTTCTTCCCCCCCACCGCCGCTTCCCCGGCTCTCGTTCTCTTCGGTTCTGAGATGGCCGTACTCTCTGCTCTGCTTCCCTCGCGCGCTGGCGCTTCGCGGACGCTTCAGCCTCCTGCCTGTGCCATTTCCTCATGAACCATGCCGCCCCGTCCTCGACCTTGTTGTACCACACCTCCGGGTC